AACCCACCAGCCACTCCTCGGAAGGAAGGTTGGGCAATCTACTTCCGTAGTGATACTGCCTCGGAAACCCAAGGAGGGATCGCTATGAGTCGGGTTCGACTCGACGGCACATAACAACAACAACATATATACACACACATACACACACAAATATAAATATACACACACACATATACATAACACAGAACATGTGTCATTTCATTATTTTTTTACATGTATGGTTCAGTGACATTAATTGTACTCATCACATTGCTCAACCAGTGAGCTTTCTAAATTTTTCCATCACCTTAACAGCTAAGCAGTAAGTCTCCGTTTCCTCCTCCCTCCCACCCACCTCAGGTAACCATTAATAAACTTGGGTCTCTCTCTTCTCCTGCCAGTAGATTGATGTTAATTTAACACTGGTCATATAATGTTTACCAAGAAGATTTTTAGTGGGTCCCCAATCTGATTGGGGACCTCCATGCCTTAACTAGAGAGGCCAAGGAGATCTCCTTAGGAGCCACCAAAGATTAAAAATGAAAACCAAGACCATTTAGAACCAAAGGACATCTGCTAAACTTAGAACAAACTTGGAAATACAGCTTTAGGATGGTAACTGGAAATAGCAACATGGTTAAGAATAGTCACTTTTCATAAGTTGTTGATTGTTGCTGTTGAATGATGAGGATTTTCATATTATCTATTTATGTTTCTTTGACATTTTCTTTCATTCAAAACCCCAGTTACTTGTCTACAATGCAAACTCTTGATTCCTACACTAAACCTATACCACACTGTTTCATTCAACAAATAATTGAGAGCTTAGTATGTGAGAGGTGCTGTTCTGGACTCTTCAATTTTAAAAAATTATTTCTTGAATAATTACAAAATGAATGCCTAGAAATCAGAAATACCAATTGTACTTTCTAACATATGTAAGTGCTAGTTCAAGCTGCCTTGTGCTTATTTCACATATAAAATGGAATTAAGTCAAGTAAGAGGCCTCAAAGTGAAGCGCAATGAACCAGAATTATCCTAAACAATATATTTTAAATATTTTAATCATTATTTTTACACCACCTCGAAAAATACCCCCAAATCCATATCTTTCAGATATAATTCACTTTCAATTGAAAAATAAAATCCTAAATTATATACATTAAACTGCCAATTCCCATACTAGTATTAGAAGTTACTATCTTGACCAAGAGTTACTGGATATCTTTTAACCACAACATTACAAACATTTTTACAGATATAATTTATGTAGAAACATGGCTAACACCTACTTTGAAAACAAGAGCAATTCAAGACAATTTTTACATGTATGAGCCCCACTCTCACCCCCAAAACATAAGGGACTTACGAGGAAAGTTGTACTTAAAGCAGGTCTGTGCCGTAATCATCCACTCAGCCCTGGTCTCACAGAAAATGGCAATAGTGCTCTTTGGTTTTAGTCCCAATGCAATGAGTCCACTACCAAAGTTATTCACTCTGGAGTTCACTTCGAGATAGTTCATCCATTTATAATTCCCAAGAATTAACTGTTAAAGTGACATATCCAGTAATTTTAGCAAATTTATTCAAGCAAACAATTAAAACATCATTCAAAGTGCAGAACTCTCAAAATGTCCTTAAGTGAATATACAGAAGCTATGAGCATCTTCTGAGAATTACACAGCACTGTAATAGAATGCCAGCATATTTAAAATGCACTCAATTTATGATAAAGCAAAATGTACCTTTCCTTTAAAAATAAAAATTAAAAAAGCCCCAAAAGGCTTTTTACCTTCTTAAAAACCTTTCCATTTGGCTGCATTTCGTTTTCTTCACTTAGGACTTCCCTGGTCCCAAGGCTGTCCTTCTTCCCAAACTTGGCTACAGCATGATCAAATAATTTATCCAGGGTGTCCGCTCCAGGAATGTCTATGACGGCTAGTGAGTCGAAGTGCGTGACAGAGCGGTATGGACTTCCAGGTTTGTCTGAAGTGGGCTTAGCTTTTATTCTCTTTGCCATAGCGTTTTTCTTCTTGGCATTGGTAAGAAAATACCATGGAACAAATATAAGGGCACTGTATATTGTTATTAACAAGTGGATAGGCAGCAAAATAATGGTGAGCACATTTAACTTAAGTTTCATAGTGGAAAGGCTTCTAATAATGGTGTTTATTTCTTGTTATTCTTTGGCTTCTGAAAGCCTTATTTTGCTGAAGAAGGCAATAATGGAAGCAGCAGTAAGAAGAGCAGTATAGCCAAGGCAGTTCAATTTTAATGATATAGATAAAAGTTAGTAATCTTTGGAAGCCGACAAGAAAGCACACCTGTAGGTGAAGACAATGAACCAGGCATAGGGCAGGGGAAAAAAACAAAACAAAACAAAACGAGAGTGTTAGCAAGTTGATAGCACCATTGATTTAAATACTCAGGTCCTTATTAGTTTATATAATTGATTTGATACAGAAAGTTGAAATAACTGGTCTGAAAGACTGGCATTTTCCATTTTTAATCATTAATGTCATAAATGTGTTTTAGTGCACCAACTTCTAAATTTCTTTTTTATTTCCCCCTAGGTTTTTAGGTGTACAGTATTCTGCACATTACTCTAAGTCAGTTGAGTTAATGATTAGGTGAATGAATGAATATATTTAAACTTGGCCAAACACTGATCATTTCTCTTAAATATGTCCATGTAAACCAAATAGCTTTAAATCGTATAAGATTTTGTATCCAAATGGGAAGAAAACCCTACCAATTTATGTTTATTTGCCAAATATTCAGCAGATGTACTATTCTGCATTCTTCACTGAGATAAATCTCTGAGGCAATGCTATTTACTATCTCCTACTCTCAAAATTGGAACAAGACAATCATGGGAATCATTTCCTAACTGTCCACTTTGTGCTCAAAATTGTACCAGTTGCCAGGAGAGTAACAGAAGGCTGATGTAGTATTAAGTCACGGCCTCTGCCCACTGAGTTCACACTTATGAGGTAACTAGCACACAAGATAAAGCCAGTATTTTTCAAACTTTTCTTTTGGCAGCTAAACTATTTCTTCATTAAAAAAAAAAAAAAAAAAAAACACGCAGACTGCCAATATATAAAACTAAAGTGCAGCTGCTCTGACTGAAAGAGTGACTGGGTGCTGTCCAAAGTCCCATCGCAGGTTTCCTTCAACCATACTCCTAAGGTGACCACTAAGTATTTCCAGTGAAAAATCACTGAGGTAATACACAACTAAGTGCTACAGTGGGCAGTCCAGGCAATAATGCAATAGGAGTTCAGAGAGCAAAATGGTCAAGAGTAATTAGGAGAGGCATTGATAGGAGGTAAGACTTAAGCTGGACCTTATGTCGTGCATCTGGAAATGAAGGATGAACAGAGGACATCTCAGGAGGCAGGGGAACCACATGGAAGAAAAATACAGAGGTAGGAATTAAAGAACTTTGGGAGAGTAGGAAGCATCAATAATGAATGAGGACACTAGCCTAACTAGGCCATAGGGTGCACGTTGCTTAAAAGGCTGTGACGGTACAAGATCTGAAAAATCAGGCGACATAATTGTGATTTGATTAGGCAGAAAACTGAGGGAATCACTGATGGTCAGAAAAACAAGTGTGAACTGCAGAAAGAGCTTCAAGGATAATAATATTTCTAAGGGAGTTTGTCTTCAGCTGTGAAAGCAGGCTCCGGCACTCTTTGGGTGAGTGGCAGCATATTTCAACTATAAAAACTGAAATATTAGTTAACATTGACAAGACAAAATGAAACACATCCTTCTACAGCTCCTGTGTAAATAGACTTACACACTTAATTCAATTGACCCCACCTTACCCATCTAACTTCAGATTAGCTGTTTGTTTTGACACCATATACAAAATGGTAACTTAAACTTGCCTATGCCTTTGTTCTAGTGGTGAAGTGCCTAAAGCATCTGACTGCTAACCACAAGGCTGACGGTTCAAACCCACCAGCCACTCCTCGGAAGGAAAGTTGGGCAATCTACTTCTGTAGAGATACCACCTCAGAAACCCAAGGAGGTGTCACTGTGAGTCGGATCTGACTCTATGGCAATGAGTCCCCCCCCCCCCCATGTCTTTGTTCACATCTTTCAGCTGGTGAAATCAGCAAGAAACAAGAAGCTACAAGACCTGGCTTTTAGTGCCCAAAGGAGCTTTGGTGCTACAGTGGTTCAAGCATTTGGCTGCTAACCAAAAGGTCTGCGGTTCAAACCCACCAGCTGCTCCATGGGAGAAAGATGAGGCAGCCTGCTTCTGTAAAGATTTACAGCCTTGGAAACCCTATGGAAGCAGCTCTACTCTGACCAACAGGGTTACTATGAGTCAGAACTGACTTGATGGCAGCGGGTTTGATTAGTGCAAGAGAGTATAGTCCTGTTGGTACAGTGGTTAAAGTGCTCAGCTGCTAATCAAAAGGTTGGCTGTTCAAACCCACCAGCCGCTCCATGGGAAAAAGATGGGGCAGTCTATGTTCATAAAGATTTACAGCCTTTATGACCACAATTCCCTCAAAAAATATGCAACATTGTATATATAATTTCAGGGGATCTGTGAGTTTCCTAAAGTTCATCCATGAATCCCAAAGGGTGACATAACCATAAGCTAAGAATTTCTGGCCTAGATGATATCCTAGGGCCCTTCCAACTCAAAGTCCTATGATTTACAATGCTAGTCTTTTGGACAAGTCTCGTCATTCGTTTCTTCAAGATAAGGTAGGTCTAGTGCCAGTAACAGGAGCTCTGGTAGCATAGTGCCTAAGGCACTTGACTACTAACCAGAAGGCTGGTGGTTCAAACCCACCAGCCACTCCTCGGAAGGAAGATGGGGCAATCTACTTCCGTAGTGATACTGCCTGGGAAACCCAAGGAGGAGTCGCTATGAGTCGGGTTTGACTCAATGGCAAACAACAACAGCAACAACATTCACTGGCCAGCCCTCCTGGCTGACACATCTTATTCTCTCGTCAGACCTCCAACACTCCTCCTCCTCCATCCTTATTCTCAGGCACTGATGGGACTTTGTACTGCACTGAGGAAACCAAAACAATCCAAAGAGAACTTCCATAGACTCTAACCATTCTATCCACCTTACCTCTACCTGCACCTGTGGCCACTGCACTTTTTTCTTTCCTGGGACAATGATGAACTGTGTATGTTCCTAGATGGGATCAACCCCTTCACTTGTGCACTACACCCTTGCCTATACAAGGATGTCACAATACCACTCTACCAATTCTCCCCCTCTCTTCTGAATCATTGACTTTTTCCTATTCTACAAATCCTTCCCATCAGCATCATAACAGGCCATTATTTCTTTCATCCTAATAAAACATTTCCCTCTCTTCACCCCACCATCTCCGCCAGTAATAACCTCATTTCTTCTCCTTCCCTTTAGGACTCCTTGAAAGAGTTGTCTGTGCTGTCTCCCAGTCCTATTTTCTCTCAAACCCACTACACCCAGGTTTTACTACCCCCCTCAACCATTCCACAAAATTGCTCTGATCAAGGTCACCAATGGTTTCCATAATCTTAAATCCAAAAGTCAATTAAGTCACTGTCCGCATCTTCCTTGACCCACTAGCAGCTTTGGACACAGCTGGTCCCTATTCTCCTACTCAAAACTTCACTTGGTTTTCAGGACACCACATTTTCCAGGTTTTCTTTGTACTTCTCTGCCCATTCCTTTCAGTTTCCTTTGCTGGTTCTTCCCCAGCTCCTTGACCTCTAAATGCTATAAAGCCCTAGCACTCAGTCCTTGAACCTCTTCCATATCTATACCCACTCACATGGTGATCTCATTTAGTCTCATAATTTTAAGTACCATGTGTGTGCTGATGACTCATAAATTTCTCTCTCTAACCTGGAGGTCTTCCTTAAACACCAGATTTGTATATCCAACTGTTTCTTCAACAGATCTACTTAGGTATCATTAAGTATCTCAAATCAGGGCCTTGAACTGGTTCATTTTGGCTCAACCCCCTGCTGAGAATTGGCGTTTCCACTCCAAATATACTCAATCAAAACCTAGATTTTTATCAAGAGCCCCAGGTAGACATAAGCATCACCTGGGGATCTCTAAGATGGAGCCTGTGATTTAGTATATCTGGGGTGGAAATGCAAACTCTCTGCAGGGCGTGGAAATGAAATGAACCAGATGGAAGGCTTCTCAAACTTCAGGTACTCAAAACTGAGCAAATGATCTTTCTTCCACAAACCTATTCCACCTTGTTTTGCCTACATCTGTAAATGCCAGGTGCTTTGACCAAAAACTTCAGATTCACTCTTTAACTCCTCTTCCTTTCTCACACATTCCACACTCCATTCATCAGCAAATCCTATCAGCTCTACTTACAAAGCAGATATGTAGTTCAACTACTTCTCATCATCTCTACACCCACCCTATCCTGGTTCAAGGCACCATTATCTGTCCTCTGGATAGTTCCAACAGCTGAGCTAATCTTTTTGCTGCTTCCTTCTGACTGTGAAAATATAAGTTAAATGTCATTCCTCTGCTCAAAACCTTTCAAGGAATCCCTGTATTACTCAGAATAAAATCCAAAGTCCTTACTATGACCTATAAGACAACATGATCTTTCTTGTACCCCTTAACTTTCTGACTTGATCTCTTACTATGCTTTTCCCTTACTCCTTATAGTCCCACATTTGTTCCTGGCTGTTCCTGGAACCTACCAAACATGTTCTTTCCTCAGGGCCTTTTCACTTGCTATTCTAGTTGCCTGGAATGTTCTTCCCAGATACCTCTCTCACATCCTTTTTTGTCTTCACTCAAATATCACCTTCTCAGTGAGGCCTTCTCCAGCCACTCTTTTAAACTATACTTCCAACACTTCCTCCATCCCTTTCCTGCTTTATTTTTCTCCTCAGCACTTATTACTCATATACTATGTTTTTTATTTTTCACGTTTATTGTCTATGTCCTCATTAGAAAGAAAATAAACTATGAGTCAGTTTGTATTTGCTGCTGTGTCCCAGCAACTAGAACAATACCTGTATGTGTTACTTGTTCAGTAAATTTCTTGAATAAGAACATGCAAGAAATTACTTTGAGACTATAAAGTGAAAATGTATGTCAGTACAATAGACTAACAGTGAGCAACCTTA